AACCTCCTAGGAATTAGAGGAAAGTTAAGAAAGGAAAGAGTAGACTCTGGAATGTGGAGCAAGGAATATCCAGCACTGTAATCATATCAAGAGAGTGTTTCAGTTACAGTTAATGTTTTATGCCTTTTTGTGCTGTTTTTATTTCTTGAAAGGCACCTATGTTTTTCTGGTCTAATTCAGTTACTAACATCCAAGAACATGGTATGATTGATACATTGCATATGAAATACAGCTACTGTCCCCTTTTCTTGTGGTATTAACTTGTGTACTATTGTTAAATGTGTCTTCTTAATTTTTTTTTTATATTTTTCCATTGGTTATAGAGTGCGTAGGTAGAATACATGGAACTGTCCACATAGCCATTACCATTCAACTACATGGTTGAATGGTACCTTCACCATTCCAACTACATGTTTTTTCTTAATCAGTCAGGATTGCTCATTTTTCTTTTTGTGTCATTTTCATAGACAAGTGGTTTTCAGTCTTGTTGTGTATATGGTCCTCAATGTAGACATTTTGATTCAAGCAGGTTTAAGATGAGCCCTGAGCGTCTATTCTTTTAAAAAAAAAAAACCTTTCAGATACTTCGGATGCACAGTAAATGAGAACTGCTTGCACAGGTAATCATTTTGACCCAAGTGTTGTTGCTGCTCCTTCCACACTCCCCAGTATATATCATACTTTTTAGTAACTGAGGCTTAAACGGAAATCTAATGCTGCTTTATGTGCTCTTCAAAGCAAATGTTTTATATTTTTCATATTCACAAATACTTATGGGATAGAAAATATGTGATTTGCAGATTCCTAATAAAACAAATAAATTAAAAAATTTTTAAATAAAATATTTCAAATTTACAATATAGAGAATAATATACTGAACATCTGTGTGTTCTCACTACTTAGCATTAGAAAATATTAACATTTTACTATTTTTCCTAAAGATACAGATAAAATTTAAGCCTCCTTTGATTTCTTCTAGAAGTTACTATTCTAAACTTGGTGTCTGTCATTCCTATGCATGTTCCTATGCTTTTGCTACACATGCATGTATCAGTAAACAAAATATTACTTTGTTTTACATGCTTTAAACCTTTTCATAACTCTTACTATGCTGTGTTATTCTTTAATGTGTATATTTCTGCAGCCTTTTTACTTAAAATAACTGATTTTTTTCTAGATACATATAGCTTTATTACTTTTTATTGCGATGTAGTATTCCATTGTATGAATGAACAAATATTTATCAAATCAATTGATGCACATTTGGGTTGTTCCTAGTTTTTTATATTATTGCAAAGTGTTGCTAAAATGAACATTCCCATATGATATGTTTCGTTATTCATATACAAACCTAGAAGTAGAACTGCACATCCACAGATAGACATATTTTATTTTACCAGACCTTACCAAATTGCTTTCCAAAATGGTTGTGCCTAGTTATACCTCCCTGTAGCAGTTTTTGAGATTCTTGTGGCTTCATATCATTTTTATAGTTGGTATTGTAAGACTTTTTAATTTTTCCCAGTGTGATGGGTATGAACTGGAACCTTGTTTTATTTTTCATTTTCCTGATTTCTGGTGAGGTTGAACACTTTTTATGTAATTGTTGGCCATTTGGGTTTCCTCCCCTAGGAACTGCACTTCCACACTCCTTGTTCATTTTTCTGCTGGATATTTTTCTTTTAAAAAATTTGTAGAATTAATTGTAGCTATTAACCATTTGCTTATATTTGCAGATTTCTGCTTCCAGTCTGTGGGTTGTCATTAATTTTGTCTTTTCTTATACTGAAGTTAAAATTTTATCAGTGTATCACTTTGCCACTTTATTCTACTCTGTTTTTTGAAACATGACCCAGCCTATAGTCACAACTTTGAGCTCAAGGTTTGCAGCTTTCTATAATATCTTACTTTCAAAAATTGTAGATAAGGCAGGGTATAAATAAATGAATAAGTAAACATGCCATACAGTTTCTCATTAAAATTTATGTAAAATTATGAATTTTTAAAAAATTATATGAGGGAGTCTCCTGGTTCAGAAATGGCAGCTAGCAGCCTCCAATGTACCCTTTTCTCATTTTTCATTAAGTTCCTATGAAGATGTAGAATAAAATCAAAATTTACCACAAAACCAAAATTTAAAAACTTCAGAAACACAGAAAGCAGGAGGCAGTACCTTAATTAAGAAGCATTTGGCCTTAGGTTGAGAGGAATTTCTCTACTTTAGCGCTTGCATACCCCACCCTTGCCTCAAGATATAAACAACCTGATAAATACAGGCTAAAAGGCATTATTCTTCCCCTGTAGTCAGTTCCTTCATAGAACTCTACCAACAGCAAAATGGGAAGACATCCCTTTTCGCCTCTCAGATACTACTCTGTGAGGCAGAAACTGCTGGATTTCTTTCATTTCCTGTGTTCCCAGCAAATTTCAGGAAGCAACTAGGCAGAAGGGGAATTTGTTATGGTGTAGTAGGGTTCTCTAGAGGGACAGAACTCATAAGATAGATGTATATATGAAGGGGATTTTATTAAGGAGAATTGACTCACAGGATCACAAGGCCATCTGCAAGCTGAGGAGCAAGGAAGCCAGTCTGGGTCCCAAAACCTCAAAAGTAGGGAAGCCAGCAATGCAGCCTTCAGTCTGTCGCTGAAGGCTTGAGAACCCATGGCAAACCACTGGTATAGGTCTAAGAGTCCAAAAGCTGAAGAACTTGGATTCTGATGTTCGAGGGTAGGAAGTATCCAGCATGCGAGAAAGATGAAGGCTGGATGACTCAGCAAGTCTGCTCCTTCCACGTTCTTCTGCCTGCTTTATTCTAGCCTCGCTGACAGCTGATTAGATGGTGCAACCCAAATTAAGGGTGAGTCTGTCTGCCTTTCCCAGTCCACTGACTGAAATGTTAATCTCCTTTGGCAACACCCTTACAGACACACCAAGGAACAATACTTTGCATCCTACAGTCCAATCAAGTTGACACTCAGTATTAACCATCACACATAGGTACCACAAAGCACTGGCAGATCTGACACAAAAAGAACCCTGTTAATTATGCGTGGTATCAATGGCAATTACAGTTTTTTAAAAGGGTTTCCGCTCCCAGAAAAATAGGTAGGCAATAAAGGGTATTGAAAAATGCCCTCGCTGAAGAATATTGAGCAAAAAATCAGGTAGTAAAGGCCTGTTAAGGATAGGTGAACAAGATGGAGTGCTTTGTATGTCAGCAGCCTTTGCCTAGATAGGAGCAGATGGGCAGAAAAGTGATCATGGGTAGTTTCCCTCAACTTGTCTGTCTGACACCAAAGTTTGGGCAGATCTCTCTGTAATCTCCCGGTGTATGCGAAGAAAAAGAAATAAAGCAGCCTGAAATGAAACCTCTGAAATACTGTGGAACGAGGGAAGATTTATTAATGAAAATAATTGTAATAAAACATTAATTTCAATAATTTGATAGTGGTTTATGAACACTGTGTTTTATATCAGTAGTGCTCAAACTGTGTTTCAGGGACTCTGCAAATAGTGAAATATTTAACCGCTTAATTTCTTTGGTCAGGTTGACATTTTGGGGTTCCTTATAAGATTTTGTATGAGGGAAAAGTGCAACTGCTGCTTTCTTAATATGATTCACAAAAAAAATTATTTTAAAGAAATTTCACAAAATGAATCAATCCAATTGGATTAGAAGATCTTCACTGATCACCATTAAATATTTTATTGTGAAACTAGGAGTGTTGAATTTACTGAGAGTCATGAGGAACTTCAGAATGTAGGAAACATTAGTGTCTGGAAACATTTAAAGAAAATAAGCTAAATTGCATACTTGAGGAGCCTCCAAGGGCCTCAGTGAATGAGAAGACAGAAGAAACAACTGGGACAGCTTGGCTGTTTTAGTATTATAACCTAAATCTTTATCTTAGTGTAAGATCTAAGAGTATCACTGAATTTCAGGGAGATACATGCTGAAGAACTATATAGAACAGCTTTCTCCAGAGGCATTTGCTGCCAGATAGTAGTAAGTTTATAGGAAAATAAGTGATAGCAAATTGGGTATGTCTTGATGCAGATTCCGTATTCCCAAAGAAAGGGAGAAAAGTACACAAAAGCAAAGAAAAAGTTTAAAAGTAAAGAAGGCTGCCAGTATTCATATGGCAAGATAGTAGTGTGTGCAGAGTTTTTTCAGACCCTGTCAATGTATTGGACCCTGTTTTATTTTTAGAATGGCTAAAGGAGAGTACTTCCAATGTCACCCAAAAGGTGATCAACACTGAATGTAGATCTTGACTTTCCACCTTGGAGCTAGTTGCTGCTTCCTTGCCTTACCTTCTGCTACTGTAGCCAGCTAAGATGCCAGCAGGTTGGGGTGGACAACCAATGATGTTTGTTGCATCCTCCATTCCAGTATGTGCCCATCAGCTTAGAATTCTGTCAGAACTTCAATGCATCTTGCTCTTCTCATCCTTAGAAATCTCAAGACTACAAAATAAGAACATCCTCCTCACAAAGTGGTGGGAATAATTTGAGAAGTCACTTAACTTCTAGGACTCAGTTTCCTCACCTATAAAATGGAGTTAACAGTCCCTACCTCATAGGAATGTCTTGATGATTAAGGGAACTAATGCCACTTAATAAGTACTACACTAAAACATTATAGCTAGTTTTAAAAATAATATTAATACTTTGATTTCATGTTTTATATGTGGAAATTTTAGTTTTGAATATATGGAGGATATACCACTTTCTGGCCTATTGCCTATTAAAAAGGGAGAAAGTGTACCTTTTTTTTTTTTTTTTTTTTGACACAGTCTCTCTCTCTTGCCCAAGCTGGAGTGTTGTGGTGCTATCTTGTCTCACTGCAACATCTGCCTCACAGGTTCAAGCAATTCTTCTGCCTCAGCCTCCAGAGTAACTGGGACTACAGGTGTGCGCCACCACACTTGGCTAATTTTTGTATTTTTAGTAGAGATAAGGTTTCACCATATTGGCCAGACTTGTCTTGAACTCTTGGCCTCAAGTGATCTGCCTGCCTTGGGCTCTGAAAATTCTGGGATTACAGGCATGAGCCACCGCGACCAGTTAGAAAGTATACATTTTTTGATGGATAGTTTCATAAACAGCATAGTAACATATAGTCATCAAACCACATATCATGTCCTGAAACTCAGACTGTGTTCTTTAATGGATTTTCTAAAACATCAATCTGTATAATAGCTTTATTAGGCTGAATTGGGCACCCTCAAATTCATGTGTTGAAGGCCTAATTCCTAGTACCTCAGAACATGACTGTATTTGGAGGGTAGGGATTTTAAATAGGTGATTAAGTTAAAATCAGTTTGTTAATGCGGGCCCTGATCCGATCTGACTGGTGTCCTTATACATAGAACAAATTTGGACACATAAAGACCTACTGGGTATGTGTTCCTACAGAAGACAGATCATGTGAGGACACATTGAGAAGACAGCCATCTGCAACCCAAGGAGAGAGGTCACAGAAGAAACCAAACCTGCTGATGTCTTGATTTTTGGCTTCTAGTCTCCAGAGCTGTGAGACGATAAGTTTCTGTTGTTTCAACTGCCCAGTCTGTGGTACTTTGTTATGGTAGTCCTAGCAAACTCATACAGTTGTCCTGTTTTTAGTGATTTTGGTTTGATCTTTGAGTGTAAGTGGTAACAGCCTTATTTGCCCATTATAGGGTGCTTTATTATCTTTTTTTTCTAATTGTTTTAGCATCTATTGATGGTTTTATCTAGATCCATTATTTCATCAGGGGTCAAAAATGGTAATTTTAATATAATCACCCTTCCTTTTTTTAGCACTGTGCTTCTATACTGAAGAATTTTTGTTCACCAACTATTTGGTTACTGTGAAATTGTCTGTATTGCAAAGGTACAATAAATGCTTGATTGGATTCTTTCTCTTTTTAAATTCATTTTTAGATTCTGACATCTTCCATATCACCTGAGAATCCTAAATTTCAGGTTTGGGGATTTGAATTTATACTATTAGGGTGAGCGAAAGACTTCCAAACTGAGAAATATATAAAGTATCCCTGGGCTGGTGATACCTTTGGAACACCTGGCAGATACGGTGTGAAACTCTGTTTCCAGGAGGGACAGGTTCTCAAGGTCCCATGCTAGTCTCATGATAAAGGTAAGTTTATTTCCCAAGCTGCAAAATCCATGAGGAAATGAATGAGAGTTAATATATCCCCAGAAAATTTAGGTAAACCCAGATCTCAGTCTTTGGTCTTTTCTCTGTCCATACTCACAAACTTGTAGATATCATTTATTTTCATGGCTTTAGAGAACCATCCCAAATTTAAATCTTTTGTTCAGAGATCTTATACCTAAGTACGTCCCAAACCAAACTCCTGACTGTCCTTTCTGCTTCACTGGCAGCCTTTCCCATACCCATTGATGGCAGTTTCATCTTTACAGTTGCTTATGACAAAGAATTTGGAGATCCTTAGCTCCCTGTAGACTCAACTCTACATCCAATCTGTCTGGAAATCATCTCTGCTTTACTTTCAGTATATATCTAGAATTTGACCATAACTTAACACCTTCACTGCTATCACCTTAATCTAACTTTTGGCTATATTCCTGTAGCAGCATTTTTCATCATAATAGGGTTTGTCTGATAGAAGAGTTAGTTGATGCTTTTCATAAACATAGTCCTGTTTTACACTCAGAGAGTTTTATTTAAAAATAAATATAATAATTCATTTACAAAGTACTGCTTTATCTCATTTTCTTTATGTTATTATGAGTAAATTAAGAGTAGTAGGATGGCCGGGCGCGGTGGCTCAAGCCTGTAATCCCAGCACTTTGGAATGAGGTCAGGAGATCGAGACCATCCTGGCTAACACGGTGAAACCCCGTCTCTACTAAAAAATACAAAAAACTAGCCGGGTGCAGTGGCGGGCGCCTGTAGTCCCAGCTACTCGGGAGGCTGAGGCAGGAGAATGGCGTGAACCCGGGAGGCGGAGCTTGCAGTGAGCCGAGATCCGGCCATTGCACTCCAGCCTGGGCGGCAGAGCGAGACTCCGTCTCAAAAAAAAAAAAAAAAAAAAAAAAAGTAGGAAAAGGGCAGAAGCTTGTAGAAGTGTATTGTATACTAGGACAAGCATTTTGATTCAACCAGAATCATATGAGTATGTAAATCATAATTTAGTTTCTAATTAGGTTTTTTTCCCATGTAATACAACCTAATGTACTTAAACATTGGTTTGACTCTTAGGTGAATTTATATGAAATAAAGAATGTGGTTTGTACCTGATATGTTTGAATTTCCTTTCAATGCCCAAAGAGAGAACAGTAGCTCTAATTGCCATAAATTCATTTCAGCAAGATATATACTCACATACAAGACTGACTGTGGTATTGAGGGGGACAACAAAAACTTGAGCTACTGCTTATACCCTTTCTCTGGGAGCTTACAAGTAGAGGAAGAATCAGATGTACACATTAGTGTGATATCTGGTGACTCAAAGACATAAGTACTACACAAAGGCATAGGTAACAGATGAACGAAGGTATCAGATGAACAAAGGTAAAAGCTGTTTAGGAACAGAGCAAACAAAAGTTCTAGAAATGTAAAACTCTCTTTTGGGGAAGATGGGGGATAAATAAGTAAACAAGCCCAAATTTCTCGGCTTCCCAAGCAGTACTTTATTGGTCACTGTTTTATCTGCTAGGAGATACCTCGGTTTTTTTTTTCCTCCGTTATCTGGCAGTTTTTTGGAGCCATATCTTTTGGGTAACCTAGTATAGTTGCGTCTGTATCAAACAAAATGTCTCTGTGTGTGACAATTCCTCTTCCCTGAAGTAAAAATGATTTTGAAGCCAAGTCAATGTGCTTGTCTGTGAAGCCGCCTTTCATCTGAATCCTTTCTTGATTGCTGATACATCAAGAAGAATATATGTATCTAGTAAGAGTACAGCAAATTAGACAAATACTTACTATCCACATTTGGTTAAAACAATGCTTTATGTCATATTAATATATTTCACATAAGGTAAATATGTTTTAGCCCATATTTCCCCTTCTAAGACGTCAACCTGAGAAGCAGTTGGGGGGAAGAAGGCTCCATTTGAGTTCAGGCTCAAGTCTTTATTTAGATGTTTTCCTTTGAGAACCCTGACAATTTTTGCCTGTTCTCTCCCAGTCAACTGGCTTAGAACCCCTCTCACCCTCTCATATGCTTTCATAGCACATGTCTTTGTTATTCTTTATGTTCTGTGACAAAATAATAGTTTTTCAGCAAATAATTACTGAATATTAACTGAAAAGAAATTTCCTGATTTTATTTTTTTCTTTACTGTATCTTTATGGTCCAATCAGAAATATTATTGTCACCTTTATTAAAATTGTATTTAGATGTATCATGTCCTGGACTGCTCAAGAATCTCCAAAAATAATGAAAACTCTTCTTTGGAACCAGAACTTGTGTACTCATCATATGGTGATTTCTGAAAGTCCCTTATAAATACTGACATGCACACACCATTTTGAAAAGTGTATTTCAGCATTTTGTACAATTCTCTTAATTCTGCATGCAATTTCTACCTTTCATATATTTTTCCCATAAGAAAGTAGTATGTAAAAAGTCAGTGAATATATGGGTCCTGTTTATTGTTACTTTCATTCGTCTTTAAAATTCATTCTTTTATGATAGAGAAGTAGCAATTAAAATGGACAGAACTAATCAGAACACATGTCTGCATTTCTTCAGTAATATTTTATAATTCTTAAAGGTGTCACTTGGATTGAAAGACTGCAGTGGGCATTCAAGTCTAAGTGCCTGAGATATGTTTTGTAAGAAAAAAAAAGGAAAAATGAGACAGTTTACAAGAATGAAATGCTATTCAACTTTAATTGAAGTGTGTGACTTAAGAACCTATGGGACAAGATATGAAGTACTGATAGCAAGTACAATGCGAAATTCATATTACTTTTTGTCATTAAGGTTGTTTATTATGCATTGCACTATGCCTAACTCAACAAACCCAGAGAAGATAGAAGAGAAGTAGAGATAAGGAAGGTGAGAGGTGGCTAGATGGAGATGGGAAAAATACTTGTAGATGCGAACAATAAATTATATGCAGAACCATTTAAACTGTTGAAGTTGACTTTATCATGTTCAAACACAGAAGTATGTAACACCAACAATTATTTAAGAAGACTGTGGTCTCTCTTTCTGTCATTTGTGTTGGACAGTTTGAATTAATAAATTAGCAGTTTCAAATGCAGTTTTCATTAATGCAGCATAGAATTATAAAATGACAGTTTAGAAATCACCTGACACAATCTGTTTGTGTAGATGAAGTATCTGATATCTTTCACAAAGATTGAACAGTAATATGAGAGGGATCCTGGATTACAAACTGTCACCAAATAATACCGGTACTTGAAATATTCATTGAACTAAATAAGGCACATACATTCCATCGGCATCTAGCCATAACTGTGAGAAGCTGTTTTAATTTCTACTTAATATAGGATTACTTTTTGTGTCCTAAGGTATTCTTTTTTTTTTTTTTGAGACGGAGTCTCGCTCTGTCGCCCGGGCTGGAGTGCAGTGGCCGGATCTCAGCTCACTGCAAGCTCCGCCTCCCGGGTTTACGCCATTCTCCTGCCTCAGCCTCCCGAGTAGCTGGGACCACAGGCGCCCGCCACCTCGCCCGGCTAGTTTTTTGTATTTTTTAGTAGAGACGGGGTTTCACCGTGTTCGCCAGGACGGTCTCGATCTCCTGACCTCGTGATCCGCCCGTCTCGGCCTCCCAAAGTGCTGGGATTACAGGCTTGAGCCACCGCGCCCGGCCCCTAAGGTATTCTTAAATGAGTCACAAACAGATTTGGTGATTATCTGTTGTTTTGCAAACTCAGCTATTTTACGTTTTTGCAGTGTTTCACAGATCATTGACTATAGTGTTGCTAGCATTTCTTTGCTGTGGCCTGCTTGGATTTGGACTTCTTTTATTTCAGTTCTTCCGTACTCACAATAGACATCAAGAAGATTCAGTATCAGTAGGGTGAGCTGACATGTAATCAGTTTTACAAAATAATTAATATCTGGGCAGCTCATCTGACAGAGTTATTATGTATGGTGTTCTGCTCATGTGAACAGCCACGGATTCCAAGGCCCACTTCAACAAAGCAGTTACGGATTATTGTTGGGATTCCTGTGCCCTGTATAACAATGAGATTTCCCTTACATTAAGAACATGGTATTTATTTATATCTACAAAAGGAATGCTCTTTCTCATTTTCTGGAGACATAAGGTACTGAACACTTATAGTATACAACCTTTAGGTGATTAATTATGCTAAACTTAATGGTTACAAATACATTATGGTGCTTAAAATATATGTACATATTTTTAAGTGCCCAGGAGGTATGGATAGTTTTTTTTTTTAAAAAAAGACAAAATTTAGAAATATTATTTGCCCTGAGATGGTTTGAACTGGCTAAATTATTTAAGCATTTTATTTTCTAAGTTGGTATACTTTGCTCCTTTTATAAATTTATCAATTTTACCTCACTTGAATTTTTATCTTAAGAAATATATTGATAATTGCTAAGGGAACTCTAAATTCTTTGGTCATTTCTCTTCTTGATTTTTCTTTCTTGTTCACTAACAGGATTTTTACCCTTTGAGAAATATTTAATTTGGTGGGGTTTTTTTTGTACCATGACTTTATGCATGTGGTATAACAGAAAAGACACATAATAAACATGAGCATTCTAATAATGACAAAATTGGGAGGACTGTCTTGAGTTCTATAGGTACTGTTACGGACTGAATTGTGTCCCTCACACCCTGCCTCAAAATTCATATGTTAAAGGTTTAACTCCCAATGTGACCGTATTTGGACATGAGGTCATAAGGGGAAAATTAAGGTTAAATGAGGTCACAGGATGAGACCCCAATCTGATAGGACTAGTGTAATTATAAGAAGAGGAAGAGACATCTGAAATATACACAAACAGAGGAAAGGACATGTGAGGACTCAGCAGAAAAGTGGCCATCTGCATGCCAAGAAGAGAGGTCTTACCAGAAAGAAACTCTGCCAATGCCTTGATCTTAGACTTTCAGCCTCCAGAACTATAAGACAAAAAATTTCTTTGGTTTAAGCCACGCAGTCTG